CCTATCTAAATGTTAAAAAAATTGTTTGCTCAGTCAAAATGCTTGAATATAATTTAGTAAAAAGTTCCCCATAACTTTTTATTATAGCAGTTCAACAATATTTAAGATAAATATACACAATTTGTTTTTTTGGCATTTAAATTTTGAAGTTCAAATGTTGACAAAAAATCACGAAAATGTGCAAATTGTTTTGTAGTTAACATATGTTTTTACATAACTTTACATAGGTAAGTCAAAAGGTATTTTATTTAATTTTTTTCTTTTCTTTTATTTTCTAAGGATTTTTATGGCGCAATGCAGAAATATATACATTTATTTATATTTATTATATAATTATTAAAGCAAAAGAGACTTCGTACCCTAAAAATCTCTAAGTATGCACATTCACTGTATCAATCATACACTCTTAAAATACGCATTAAAAACTGAAACTATTCATTAATACAATTATTCGAGCAGTTATTTATTTATGTTGTTATTTACTTGACGGCCCGTTTTACAATCATAGTTTAAACCTCGGTTAAGCTTAACCCACCGATTTTACCGACCGAATTCCAAGGTTTAACCTTAGTTTAACTATTGTGATTCAGGCCCTTAATCATAACATTTTTTTTTAACCAATTAAACAAAAAATTAAATAGGTACTAATTTAGAAATAGTAATAAAAAAAATATGCACTTAAAATGTGAATGTAACAAAATATGCACTAATACATTGTTTGACCACTATTGGCTAAATTAATATTTTTTTATAATTTAGTCATAATTCATAACGTATTTTATTTTATTTTAAAGTACAACTGGTAGGCGGAAGCTGCAGATAAGTGATGAACTAATAAAACATCGAAATACGATTGTTACGCTAACATAGTTACATTATACTTTGGGCAAATAAAATATTGAAATATTGAAATAATAATAAAAAACTAGGACAGGATACAGATTATAGTTGTTGCAGAATACAGGGTTCCTATAACTTACTGATACTCGTTTACCTAATCGTTTCGATTCACCTCGGTGCAGGATGGTGGTGTATTTATTCTTGTAATGGAATTTTGAAAGCAAAGCTATTTGAAATAATTGCATTTTAAAAATCCTGCTTTCAAACTCTAACAAATGCATACCCATTGTTAATTTTCTGATATGTATAAGGTTAGGTTAATGCTTATACATATATAAGTTAAATACCAAGTTGATATATTTCTTAACCCACATATTAATATATAGGTACCTATTTCATTAATTTGCTATCAATAAAACTTGACCTCAACAACCTTGGTTACGGAAATATTTAAAATAATGATTATTATTCACATACATTATTTATTTTAATATAAATTATGGTTATGCTTATGACAAAATATAATTAAAATATAATATAATTATACTATATAAGTATAATCAATTCATTTTTGAGTTAATATTTCAATTTATGAGAGTACAATTATTATTAGTTTAGAACCGTTTTTTTAATTTAAGGAATAATTAGTACCATAGTATTAAGATTCTATACAACAAATATAGATTAAGTAAATGCATGACTTCTAAATACATATATTAGGCTATACAATTACTATAATACCAAGAGATAAAAAGAAATAATATCCGTGATTGATAAATATAAATTATTTATTATTATTTATTATATAAAATAAATATAAATTATTATTATTTATTATTTAACCATATTAATTGTTTGTGGGTATAAAGGCGAATATAATAATCCGCTCATTTAAAATTTTATACGAAAACCTACATTTACAATTTATCTGCATTATACAGCACTTACCTATGTACAAATGTTAAGCTTTAGAACAAAATTTAACAAAGTTAACGTGAAATAGTTTATTTAAATTCATTTTATGGTTATTATTTTAGTTAGAAAATGTCGTACCTACATTTTAAAAACCAATTAAATAAGTTTATAATTAATTTTAAAAAACTTATTGTATTCTATGATATCCATGTAGATACAATCATTAAAAGTAAATAACAATTAGTTTAGAATGAAAACCTTAAATTATCCATCCAGTTGAATTGTTGAAATGTGGAAACGTTTCACAATAAAAGTATTGTAGTAATAATACTCCGTGGACGACCAGAAAAATTGATGTATACAATAGGTATTATAGTTTCAACTCATTTCGATGTTATCAGACATTCTGTAGGAACGGATGAGTGCTCTCTGTTCCATTGAAAACATAATTTTACAATATTTTATAAGTTTTAGTACCTATATAATAATAATATTATTTTAAATGACTTAGATAATTATTTTTTTAAGCATTAAATAAATCAATTAAAATATCCAACAACAGAGAAATGTATAATTGTATATACTGTTCAATATTTAATATGAATGTTTTAATCGAATAAAAATCTTTGAACATGTATAAAAATGACTTACAAGACTACAAGAGTTAAAACCAAAGTGTGTACTTTAACTATACCTCTTCATTATAAATTATTCATAGAGTTTATTTTGAGTGATGAATTCCAGATAGTCATTAACTACAAATAAATATAGGAATTTAGAAATATCAAAATTATAGAATAATAATTTAACCTTGGTATTTATAAAATATTGTATTGACAGAGAACATCGAATTAAATGTATTAGTATATAAATATTTATTAAGCAACTAGTACACTTCCTACAATTATTGAGAATTATAACGCACGTATTATGTTTATTTAATGTTCAATTAAATTAAGAAATATATTTTTGTGAACCCATAAAAACATTGAATAAAAATTTGGAAAATTACATTACGATTACGTAAATTTTGAAAGGTGTAACCGTTAGATATATCTTCGTTTTCTTATGTATGGTCAAATTAAACTTATATATCACATAATATACTTATTTGTAAATATATATACCAATGTGAATTGTGTAGATTAAAAAAAAGGAAATATTAGAGTTTTGTGGATATTCATAATGGAAAACTCAACTCAAAACTATAACTATAAATCTCCAAATGCATTCAAAAAATGATAAAGAGTTGAACTCGACTTATATGTCAAACTACAGTCAACAAAAACGTAACAAATAATAATTATTATTGTATAGGAATTAGGAATAGGATATGTAATGTAGGTATAATACCCGATATAATATAGTACCTATATCTAATTTTACTAAAAATTTATATGTACACTAGCTGTTTGGTGGATTTGAATGGATTTTTCATTTTTCTAAATCAGATTATTTATAATTATGTCGACCAGACTAGATCATATAGAGTGCCTGGCCTGGCTGGCCTAGATCATATTCTATAGTTTTACCATTTGAATAAAATATTACAGTATTATACATTTCAAATGTATTTTTCTAGAATATAGTTACTCATAATAATATTATTATTATGAGTAACTATATTCTAGACATTTTGAATATCTTTATTCATTAACTTTTTTTTAACGAGGAACTTAAAATGTTATAGTCGTTGAATAATTTATGAACGTTATAATAGCCGATCAGCCTCGTCCAGAATCGTTTTTTTGAATACGATATAATGTATCAATTATTGATTTCAAATCTATAGTAGGTACCTAAAAAATAATAATATTACACTACTATCTAACACTGATATGAGCGAAGCGATGTGAGTGACCATCACGTAGTTATGTTTCCTGTCTAACTATGTTATAATTTATTTTATACATTATAAGAAAGTGCTATAATTACAATCAGTATTTGACCTTTTTTTTTATAAAGGTATACTTTACTATTTATCTTATTCCTATAAACTTGACCCCATATTTTACCTTGACAATCATTTTCTTTTTTTTATAAGAATCATTTCTTCCTGTAAAATATAATCTATTATCTACATAATATTTAAATATATTATTGTTTTTAATCTTATTTTATTTTGTACTAAAAGTCTGAATAGCGATTTATTGTATATTCTTATCACGGTATTTAATACCTACTTATGGTATAACATAGTAAGACGTATAGATATAATTGTATACCTAATGAAATTAATAATTATTTATTTATTATTATTTTTTTTAATAGAATGAATTTAAATTTTAAATTCTGTATCATTAATTAGTTTACATTCTTAGTAAGTATAGTTGCAATATATACATATATAACTATAAGTTCTTATAGTTTTTATTCTATATTCTTAGAAAATTATATTTAATATTCAATATTCTAACAGTTCTCAAAAAAAGAAAAAAAACTATTCGATACAATACAAATACAAAATGCATAATTATTAGGTACATATTTTATAAGTACCTACCACTAACATAGTTATATTTGACGATAAAATTAGTAATTAATGTTATAAGTACCTGTAATAATAATAATACACATTATTTTTAAAGACACGTTACAACGAAATTTATTGTTACTCGAAAGTTTAATTCAAAATATTTCACTTAATCCCAACATTGAATTTTAAATATTATTTTCGGTTATATAATCGTTGTGTTATCACACTTTCCACTCGTGGATCTAAAAACAACAATAACAATAATAAACACAAGATCATATTATTAAAATATGATGCTCATTTGTGTGGAACTCAATTTATCGTAAAATGTCATCCCAAAATACTATTGAAACCTATTATCTGCACAAACCATCGTTATCATTTCGTGTAAATAATTTACCAAAATAATAATGCTGAAATAAAACTGATTTGATAAATGATTGGTACCTACCCACTACAAAAATTTTGATTTTGCAATAGACATTGTAAATGTGTACGCACACTTAAATACTTATATACCTAATAAGTAATAATAAATAGGTAGTTTGTACATTAACACATTGATAGTAAGTACGGCTATACATAATATACCACGATGAACCGAAGATTTCCTATGCATCTACCATTATTGTATTATTTATAGGTCCCTATTATTACAATAGCATAATATTGGCATATTGCCTGTTACCGCCTATAGTTCCGTCAATACAATAATGACTAATAATATTATATAGGTGTTACCTATTATAGTAGCGGAGCCGACACTAACCTTTTTTGAACTTGCTGAACGTGTTTACGGTATAGGAGAGATTTTCAAAAGACAAGTCGACTTCGGCTTTTTTCGGGAACAATTGAGCTTTTTTTCCGATCACGTTGTTGTTGGACGCGTCGTCGGTCCTGTATTTGACGTCGGTCGCCATAGCTTCTCCGTATGCGTATGGATAATGATAACGATATAATTATTCCGATGCACTGACCCCAAGGGCGACTTCGAGCTTATGTCGTGCAAGAAAACCCACAGTCAGGCAGGGTGTGTGTGTGTGTGTGTTTATATAGTGTTAGGTATAATATAATATTGCCGGTTAATACGCCGACCTGGGTCACGTTCGGACGCGGAAAGCATACGTCATATTATGTGTCCGTCGTCAAGTAAAATCGCCCGGCCACTTGTCGCACGCGAAACTGGTCGAGAACAGAACAAAAAAATTATCGATCACGCAAAAACTAATTTTATTTCCGTCCGCGGCCAGAACTCGTTTTTCGCGTGTTTGATGATATTATTATAGTGTGTGATTTCGATCGTTTCCGGCGGTCCCGTTCAACGGCCATGCGGAGCCATAAAAATATATTGAAAAAATTATAATTTTGAGAGGGAAAATAAAATTGTAAAACACCAACGACGGACGACCGGCCGCTGTCACTACTGGTGAACAGTAGTGTGGTGCAGCTAGTGTGTTCGGCGTTGAGCTCGGTATATTATTATTATTATTATCATCATTACTCTGTGCCCTCCGCCGCCGCCGCCGCCCACCTCTCCCCTTTTTAGGACCGGCGCCGATAGAGTGTGTCGCATGCGGTAAAATGCCGCCGAGTTCCGCCGCCGCCGCCGCTCGCCACGCCAAACCATTATAGGGCCACGGCCCGGCGCGCATGCGCACCCTTCCGAAACGGGGTGCGCAGGGACCGTATCCGGCGATAGTGCGTCATACAGGCTGATCATCGCAACGCTCGAATCGTCCACGATAATAATAAGGACATATTATACAGTGTGCCCGCGATTTCGGTTAGATAGTGGCAGCATCGCACCATGGGTGTAATTTGGTTGTTAATGAGGACGGTGGTTAAACCGCTAATATGTCAATGGTAACTTTCTCTCTCATGTTCACCCGCACACAATATTAAAACAATTAAAATATTTATCACTAAAGACAAATTTTCTATTACTCTGTTTACATGACGTGTCTAATTTTTTTCTAGCCACCTGCTCAATCCACTGCCGTCTTCAGCAATCCTCGAATGTATTTAAGCGTTGGTTAGGGTATCTATACGCACAAGTCTAACACTTGTGAATTATGATATTATTCTCGTATGAAGTTGTAGGATTTCAGAATGCACTCAATCAAATTTAGTTTTAACAATTAAGAGTAGAACGAATATCTAATAACTTATATACACGTAAGTACTGTGATACTAGGCACTAACTATACCTTATGAATTATATTACATCGTGATTGAAAATGCTTTCCAAATATAGCATAAATCATAGCTTACATCGTTGGACATTAAACATATTTAATCATTATGAATTATAACTATTAAAATGTACAGACGATTTCAATCAGGGATGGAATACGTTTTTAAAAAACGCTATTAAACGGAAAAACACAAAAAACGAAAACAATTAATAAAACAAAAACAAAAAATCCCAAAAACCGAAAAAAATTTAACAACGTAATCAAAAACGAAAACGAAAATAAATTATAGTATTATACATTATTAAATTATTTAAACCACGAAAAAAAAAAATTTCAGCTGTCTTTACTTTTTAATCTTTACCAATGCACTTTTAACATTTAAAAACATTTTAATTTGAAATCGAAAATTTCGAATTTTCTAAGTTTTATATAAATTATAATTTTGGTTTAAACTTTAAATTTTAAATATTTAGAATAATTAATTTTAATTATTAACTTTTAAGTTTTAAGTGCCTTCCTATATTGCGCGTTACTATTATAACTTAAAATTTAAAAGTTATACCTAAGTTATAAGAATATACAGTGGCGTATTTACGGGGGTGGTCCAGGGGTACTGGACCCCCCCCAGAATCTCTCAAAAAAAAAAGAAAAAAAAGTTTTACATATTTGCAGACCCCGATATTTATGTAAGCACACGCAGACAAGGTTTTTTCCCGTGAACAAAATATTTATATGTAGTGTTTTAAAATTTCATGAAATTTAAAAAAATGAAATATTTCGTGAAATATTTCATGAAATATTTCAAAATATGTGAAATATTTCAGTATTTTAATAGATTTTGTTTTATTTTTAAATAAGTTTTATATTTACATATAATTGTCATAAATTACCTTCATCACTATATGGTACCTGTATGTATACCTAACCTTTGGTATTATACATTTAAATTGGTATTCAAAATTTTTAAATATTTTAATGTTTAAATGATATAAGTAGGTATACAATATTATACATGTATATTTTATACTTACTGAATTCTGACATTAGAATTTAGAACACTGAACATTGTGTTAAAAAAATAAATAAATTGTGTTTTTATTTGTGTTAAAAAAAATTTCAATGTTTCACGTTTTTGTGAAATATTTCACAACTTAGTGAAATATTTCAAAATGAAATATTTCATTTGAAATATTTCATGAAATATTTCACATACTTCAAACACTATTTATATGAAATATAGTTTAAAATTAGCCAACGACCGAACGTTCAAAAACCCATGTAACTAAACTTATCCTTGTATTGTAGTATTACACTTTATAAAATACCCATATTAGATAAACATCAATAATTCTCAAAAAAGTCAAAACATTCTTATCGCAAGAAATTGACGACGCACATCATTCTCCAATGAACTATTTCTATAGGACAGTATAGCTGGTAGCTATTATTTATCTATTTAAATTTTTGCTTTGTAAACACGGCAATTGTCGTAGAATCATTTACTAAATACTTCATGTATGTATTTTGTTACCGAACGACGGCATCGGCTACGAGTGCAAGTATTTGAATATTATTTCTTCAATAAAATATATTAGATCTATTACTTATGTAAGTACAAATTAAATATATACCTAGTAAATTAGGTAGTAAATAATAATAATAGCTCATTGATCCGATGTGAGCAGTAAAGAATTTATTATTTTTTATAATAACATAAAACATTAATGTAATTTTTGGAGTCAACTGGCCGACAATTAGTATTCATTTAGAACCATGTTTGCCTACTTAGTATTTATTTTCTGTTCAGAGATTAGCAGAGTGATATTTACTTATACTATAATTTAAACCTTTCATTATTTTTACGTGTTAACACGAAGTTGACAACATAATATTATTAAACTGCTATGGAAATAATATTAATTGTCAACGTGTAATGAGAATAATTATTGTCTCTCATTTGTGATAGGTGTAAATACAGATTTGACAAAACCTAACATTTCATAATTATTTAATAAATGGCATCAAATTTATTTTTTTATTTTTTTTATAGTTGTATAATTTATAAATTATTTGTATCTATTTATTGTTTGGAAATTGAAATTGGAATAAATATGTCTTCAAATAAAAAAATAAAACTTTGTAAAAAAAAAGACACTTGGATTTTGTACTTGAAAATTATAAAATATAATAAAACAACTATTTTTTATTCTTATAATCTATTAAAAACTATTTCTATGTATCAGTTACTTACTATAGGTACTGTAACTATCTATATTATGTTGGAATTATTGGACCACCCCCAGAAAAAAAATGAAAATACGCCACTGAGAATATAATATTTAAAAAAAAAAATTATTATTATCAAAAACGTTATTCGGAAACAATATATGGAAAAATAGCGTTTAAAAACGTTAACCAAAAACGATATTTTTTAAATCAATAAACAAAAACGAAAAAGTTAAAAACGTTTTCCATCCCTGATTTCAACCTATCATGATTCATGAAAACACATTGCAATAGAGGATTATGGCGAATAGAGTAATCTTTTAGAGTGAATATTATATTATTAAAGTATAACTATATAAGTGATGGCTGATAATAATAAAGCATTAGGTATAAAATTTTATTTCAAATTCACCGAAAGCTATAAATCAATGTGTTATAGCCTATAGGTTTAAGGCAGTATGTGCTTACTGCTTATATATATAATTATTACTATATTAAATATATCGCAATAATTTAATATAAATTATGTCCAACATTAGATTTAAATATCATGCACCAGCAATAATGTACATATTATTGACTTTAGATACTTAAATCATCGATGATGATTATTATTATTTGATGACTCAACGTTTATATATAAATCTTAATTCTTATAATAATGTTATCTCATAAAAGTTATTGTGAAAAACGTGCATAAAAATGCTTCAAAAGTCAAAATATTAAAATGTATTGATTAATTATATAATATATTATTAAAAATAAATCAAACTAAAGACATGTTAATAAAATTATTTACTATAGCTATCTACTTTACCTATACATATCTATTAATTATATAGTATATAGTATACCATGACAATCGACAATATTATTATTTTAATTGGATTTTTCAATGATGAAAAATAAATATTTTACTAGGTATTAATTATTAAAAATATGTTTTACGGATTGATTTTATTTTGACATGGTTAAATAACAATTTATTTCAATTAAATACTTTTGAGCCATTATCTGTGTAAATAACAAATATTCAAAATTATTCTGTCAATGCAAATGTTTAAATTAACCAAATAGTCAAATAATTAAGTAAATATGACAATAACTATGAACGATAAGAAATATAAATTAAAATTCATAGTTAGGTACAAACTCCGAATTTTGACTGCTGAGTGGTAAAATAAAAATAATATTTGTTATTGCATTATATTGTTAGTATAGGTTTATTAGTTGTCACAATATTTAATTATATAAATATTATATTTCAACAATTAAATAAAAACTTAAGTGTGCATATTATTGTTGAGGTACTTTAATTAGTAGTCGGTAAATTAACGGGCATCCAGACGCAACCCAAGGATGCTTTGATAAATAATCATATAAAAATGAAATAGGTAATAAATATAATGAACCATCAGTATTAACTGCTGAAACTTTATATTCAACACCTTTATTTAGAATTTTGAAACCGAATCTCAAACTGAGACATTAATAACTGT